ATTGTCCAGTCCGAGTCAACTTCCGAGGATGGCGTCGTAGGGTTCAATGAGTCGATTATATTATGCCGGTAAGCTGCTTTATATATACATGTCTCTATGCCAGTGCTTGTGTTACGTCTATTTTCATCTAGCCATGTCTAGCATGACACGATGAAGACAGCAGGCTCTAGTCGACGATAAACTGATCTGCAACTCAACTGAAATTGATGTTGGTTTAAAGTCGACACACAGGTGTAAAGGATTATAGTTTCAGCGGATCTTCAGCTGAAGTCGGGTTGATTGTAGACCCCGCGTTTCTGGAAAGTTGATCAGTGTACTCTGGAAATTAGCCTCATCGATGCTCGCATGCACACTCGTTGGGTTCAGTATCAGTAACCTCAAAACTCTCCAAGCACTGCAATATAAATGTGTAGAGTACACATGATGCGATACGTCGCAAAACTAACAAATGGAGTGTGCCATGCTCTCGACTTGAATGGGGCAAGTTGTATCTAGGAGCTGCTTGCACTCAGCCTCATTGCGATACTCGTTTTCCTTAGACTGTCCAAGCTCACTGACCATCATCTGCGCAGTCCTCTCACCGCCTTCTTCAATCACGCCAAGCTCCGTCGACTCGTACATCCAAATCTTGTGCTCCCTTGAAAATGTCGTCATCACATTGAAACACTCGTCATAGACAGGCATCCTGAGGAGGCTGTAATAATCCAAGTTGGAATGTCTTGAAGTGGAAAGACGCAGACGTTTTCCTTTCGAACACGAAGGAATTATATCATCGATAAGAAAGAAGTCCACTGTCGCAGCAATACAGCGTCAGTAAGTCCTTCTTTATCAGTTTATACAACGTACTGAAATATGCTATTTTAGAACGACGCCGACCGACTCCAACAGAACGGCGAGCTCACTTGTACGTGAAGATGTGATGTTCGGTTATTGAAAATGGCTCGTAGCCTCGTGGTGATTGCCGCGGTGTTTGAACCTTTCAACGCAAACTGCGCAGTCTTCTCCTCGTCTTCTTGAAGCTTGCGAGGGCATCGTCTTTTCGAGAACTTTCATTCAACGAGTTGCTATGACGTTGGATTATCTACAACTTCGCGTCGAACCGAAGAGCTGTCAGTTTGACAGTGAACATGGAATGGCGTGCACTTGAAGTAGACAAACACTTTCTAGGTGAACGCGTACTGACGCGTCTCGAGAACTTCTTTCTAGCATCATCGATTTATGAATAGAAGTTCGCGTACCGCAGCGACGGAAGGTGAGTAAGTTCTTTTAATTTTCGTATTTATATCTTCAATTTACATAACGTCCGTCGCTCTCTCTTCTCAACGACGCCGACCCACTCCAACCGCAACCTCCAACTGGCTGCAGGACGAGGTCACCACTGCCCGACGATTTCTTCTCTGAGCGGGTCGCTGTGTCATTCCGCCTGTTCCGATCAACGCATTATCTACTTGAACATGACATCCTCTGCCAAGCGTTCATAATCACCTCACCGCCGATACGCCGCTCAGCTATGAACACTCTTATATAGTACTCCAGCTTTCCCTCTCTGTTATCCTCGGTCACTCGACATGTCGCGTTCTCATGATTTACCTCGAGCCTTGTATCCGAGACAAGCTAGCCCCGCCTCTGATGGCCCCGCGCCTGATGATACTATGGCTCTCGTCAATTGGGGAATCAAGGTATCTTTCTTGTTTGCTCGTATTCACTGACACTTGTTGATTTCTCTGAGATAGGTATACCCACAACGAACATGGATCGGCGTCTGTTCCATCATCGCTGCCGCATTCCTTTACAACGTTCTTTACTCACTGTGGTCTTGGAGTCGTCGCCGCCACCATAATCGACACAAGCCATCGTCTCTTACAAGACTCACCTCTTCTATCCTCACCGCGTTCAGGATCGTCTCGTTCCGTTGGAGATTACCCGTCTTTGGACTCGGTGTCTTCGACGTACTCCTCACTTCGGCCTACATCATTCTCTTATTCACCTGTTGTTTTGTAAACAGTCCGTTTTATCTCCTTCTATCACGTGTTCGAATTTACTAATTGTTGTCGATAGCTCAAGGATTGAATCCAGAGCTATGGTGTAAACGAGCAGGAGCTATCGCTGCTGCTCAAATCCCGCTCATTGTCGCGTTAAGCAGCAAGAATAATATCATTGGATGCAAGTCTTTCTATCGTTTCTTACGTTTATTCGCTCATCTTTTCGGTTTCTGTAGGGTTGACGGGGGTGGGTCACGAAAAGGTATGTTTGTCTTTGTACAATTGTGGTTTTGCGACTGACAGTGTTTGTAGCTCAACGTTCTGCATCGTATGTTTGCACGAGTCACGCTCGTGTTAATATTTGTTCATTGGGCAGGAATGTACGTGTTCAGTTTTTCTCTATTCCATTCTTCCTCTTCGTGTCCTAACCCTCGACTTCGTCGTCTCTAGGCATTCACCCTCGTAAGCATCTGTTCTCGCATTCTAACCGTGCTGTTTCACTCAACGAAACGTCATCTAGTTCCGGAGTTGACATGTCTATTCCCTTCCCCGTATGGCCTGCCGCTGGTAAAACCGCTGCTATCGTCTTTACCATATTGGCTGTTATTTCCGTCCAATGGATCAGGAAGCTTTCATACGAGATTTTCTATCTCGGACATATGGCTTTGGTTCTGTGCGTTGGTTTACTCTTGGTTTTCCTCTGACTTGACATACTGATTTCAATCCAACTATAATAGAGCCTTTATTGTTTCGGTTTGGATTCATTTAGATGGGACTGGGTACGTTTCTTCTTTCATTTTCCCTTGTTTGTACCCTCACGTGTATCATTCCTTTCTTCACGTCATATTATTTCTCGCTTTACCCCTACTAACCACTCTCGTTTCTCATGTTCAGACACGCCAACCTTGTCTACCCAGGCGCAGTATTCTGGGCTCTCGACAGATTCCTTCGATACTCTCACTACATCATCAACAACCCGTTTTGGAATGCTCGAAAGTCGCTCGGAAGACTGGAACTCTTGGGTGAAGATACGATGAGGTTGACAATCCGGCGACGTTGGTTTGGATTTGCGGTTCAGCTTGGCGGATGGACAAGGGGGTGGAAAGCAGGTCAACACATGTTCGTTGCTTTTCCATCCATAAACCCAACTCAGTCTCATCCGTTTTCGATTTCAACGATTCCAAATGATCTTGGGAGTGATGAGGATGAGTTGGTTTTTATCATTCGAGTCAGAGAGGGATTGACGAGGACGTTGAAAGAGAGACTCGTTTTGGAAGCTCGACGACGGAATGGTTTGAGTGCAGTTGAAAACGGGAAGAGTTTCCATCGTGAAGCAACTAGTGCTCAAGTCAAGTCAACGATGGATATTCCCGTGTTTTTGGATGGGCCTTATGGGAATCCGACGGATATTACTGGTTTCGAGAGGTGTGTTTTTGTCGCTGGTGAGTTTCTCTCTTTTCCTGTAGCTTTGACTTCGAGTCGTGAGATCGTTTGTCATTTTCGCGTCTGACGTTCAACGCTGATATCCTTTTTACTAGGTGGATCGGGAATCACGTATATCTTTCCTAGGTTCTTGGATATCGTCATGTAAGTCTAGTTCTCCCGATTCGTCGTTTTGAACAATCAATATCATCCACCTCTAACAATTTGGCTTTGATCTCTAGTCGTGCAACCAAGAATCAAGCATGTGTGAAGAATGTCTCCTTGATTTGGATCGTGAGGGAGAGATGTAAGTCATGTTCAACCTCTTCTTGTCATACATCTTCTTCGAGACTCAATCATTCTCATTGTTTTATCTTTCCAGCTCAGGTTGAATGGATATCGAAACATATATCTCGATTATCCTCTATCAATCTCCGCCAAAACAACAACAGGGAGGTTACCGTGAAGTTCTCGGTATACGTAACGTCGAAACAAGCAAAGCTTGATCAATATCCAACGACCGGGTCGAAGATTGAGTCTGCCAGTACACCACCTTCACTGTACCCACCACCACCATCACCTTATCCCCCTTCACTTTCACCAACTGCAACTGCGGCTGCGACTCCGAACATGTCTCAAACACCATATTATGACAATACACCAATGGCATACAGTGAACGATCTTCGAGAACAGAGGTTTTCGAGAAACACGACGATGGAGAAGTGACTAGGTCGGGCTCACCTGTTTACGAACTCAAGGAGATTGATCAGTTTACAAAGATACCTTTACAATCGCAATCGTCGGCGGTAGAAGTATCTGAAGCATCAGTACCAGCACCTCCTCCTATGTCAATGATATCTGGAGTATTTCCTCCACCGACGACGGCGACATCTGAAGGATTTCCTCCGACGTTTGAGTTTGGTGTAGGTGTGGAAGAGGCTACCAGAGGAGGGAGAGTTCAGATGGATTTTTATCAGGGAAGACCTGATATCAAACGGTTGTTGGGCGATGAAATTGGTAGGTGTCGAGAAGGTGAGAGTGTGGGAGGAGGTGTTTCAGTAGATAGTGAGTTTGTGTTTGTCGTTTTCTATTTCGAGATTGAGATTCTAACTTTTGTCGGTCCTACGAACGCTTTTTTTTTCAGTTTCGGGACCTGAAGCTCTTGTCGCGAGTGTTAGAATGGCACTATCTTCATTCTCACCGTCATCGTCATCAGAGTTTTCAAGTCCTGCAAATGTGTACAGAGGAACTTCGAATTGGGTTTTGTTGAATGTGGAGGAGTTTAGTATGTGATGAACCTGATATCGAGACGAGGCGGGATGTAAGTATAAACAGTTTCGACTTGATATCACTTTTCTTTTTTTTAATCTTATTTGCTTCGTACAGTGCAACGGTTGATTCTTTTTTTCGGATGGCAAGTACTTGGAAGACTGTATAGATTATAGACGTCGACAGTAGTCAATAGAAGATGGATTTTATAACATTTTACTTACATGGAAGCTTTTAAACTGCAACCTTCAAAAGGAACAGTTACAAGTCCCTCGACTTTGCGATTGTCCGTAAAATACTAGACAGTGTATGAAAATAAATGACATGGGCACTTGGCACAGTGGTAGCGCGCCTGCTTTGCATTTTCCCTGTATTCAGGCATTGCTTGCATGAGGTCGAGGGTTCAATCCCCTCAGTGTCCATTGAAGAATTGTCCTTATCTTTTTTTATGCATGAACATTCGGAACACAGTTATGATTTATCTCGAAGCAAACGAGGATGGAAGAAACACGTATGTATGTATGTATGTAAGTATGGATATGAATACACGGAAGAAATGGAACTCGGAGAAGGACATCGAAACAAATTAATGGACGACGAAACGGCCTGAGCGAATGGGGATGAATATAATAGTCTAATTAATTTTGAATTCATTCTGAATCGTAAAGAAGAGAAATCATAAACCATAAATCATTAAAAAAAATCCAAATTCAAAAATTCAAAACAAATAACAAAACAAGAAAAAAATGCAATAAGACAACTAACTCGAAGAGTCGAAGATAAACAAACAAACAAACCATGAAAGAACAAAAAACAAAGATATCCAATCCACTCCAGATCCAAAAAATCCAATCCCGTTACCTCCCACTCCCAAACCCACTCAAAAACACACCTTCTCCAACTTTATCAGGACTATTAAGTTCGTCACCCTCACCCTCCCCATCACCCTCTCCATCCGCATCAATCAAACCAACCTGTTCTTCTTCCTCACCGTCAAAATTCAATCTCGTTCTCCTCGGAATTTGATTTTGATTCATTGAAGGAGTAGAATTGATAAGAGGTAAAGAAGACGTCGACGAATTATTGTTATTATTGGTAAGACGCATAAGAGAAGGTGGAGGTGGTAAAGATGAAGGAAGTGGTGTCGATCTTCTAGCGTTAGATATCATGAAATAAGGAGGTTGTGAAGGAGGTGGAGGAGGAAGAGGTGTTGAAGTCATAGTTGCAGGTGAGCGAGTAAACAATGCACGATTAGGAGGAGGAAGAAGAGGAGGATTATTGTCGATTAACCAAGCTCCTTGACTTTCTTCTTCACCGTCTCCATCGCCTCCAGGAGCAGGAGCAGGAGCCACAGTGAGATCAGGTATAGTCTGTCGTCGTCTACTTAAACCGATGTTGGATGTCGTCGTCGTCGTTGGTGTTCCACCAAAATACGTAGACTTTTCGTCAAACTCGTCGTATGTAGGTGAACTACTGACTTTATCAGCAAAGAACGTATAAACGTAAAACTTCTTCCCGCCCGGTTTGTCGTTATCAGTTGTTGTATTCCAAGTGGGTGAAAACCTAGGACTGTGATATGAAGGTCCAGAGGGACGAATGGGATGAGAATGATGATGATGAGGGGTATTATTTGATGAATGTCGTGATGTGGAAAAGAGACCTTCAGATGCAGCTTGACAAGGAAGATAACGAGTTCCTAAAGTATTTCCACTAAATTTCATCGTCGTGAGCTTTCAATAGTATAAAAATAAAAACACAGTTTTCTTTGCAAAACTCACCAAACGGAGCAGCCGATACCTTCTCTAACACAGCCACATGCACTTTTCATCATCTTGGCCACAACATCTCGATCGAAATACTTTGGATCCATACCGATCACAACTTCACTGTTTGCTTCTTCTTTAGCTACCCATACACCTCTTGTCTTTTGTGGGTATGCACGGAAATGTAAGACAGCGCCACATCCGTTGGAAGAAGATGGACGAGGTCGTTTCGAAGGTCGAGAGATATGATGTTTGCGCGTATGCGTATGATGTGATGATGAAGGACAACAGGTGGGGAAAAGTGACTGTTCGAATCTCTTCTTCTTCCTCTGAGTCGGACAAAAGTAGTCGTCATCATCATCATCTTCGGATTCCGAACCGTCAAAAGATGATCCTCCGCAGAAAAGCATAAAGCTCTTCTCATCTTTGTCTATCGCGTTATTATTGGGAATAGTTCCTTGTCCTACTTCCGCAATACCACCAGTGACCGTCGAAGACGACGAGCCAAGACTACCTTCCGCTCCAGGACCAAGGTTGACATTGATCCAATCCCTCCATTCAGTGTCAGCTGGATTGACGGGGGCTAGGTACGGATCAGGATCACCAAAGTCGTCTAAGCCAGCAGCAGAGGTCGAAGAAGTGTTGGCAGAATTAGTCGGAAGAGCCCAGGGAGGTGTTGAAGGCCTGACAGGGATAGATGAAAGAGGTTGTTGTCGAACCATGTTGATTGGATAAGAATTAAGCAAGGCATTGGAGCTTGGATTGAGATTGGACGTTGAAGAAGAAGAAGTAGACCGATGATGTGTATGATTATTGTCTAACCTCATTGCACCTCTTCTTCGTAACCTACTTGCTTCTCCAGTTCGAACCAAGTCGGAGAGAACGATCGAATCGTCTACGTCTCGAATTTCAGGATCTTCTCTTTGAGGAGGTGGAAGAATGGTCGTCGTACGTCGTGGTGGGTGAGGTCTTGTCGTATTTGAGGACGAGGATGATGATTGTTGAAAGGAAGAATGCCTCCGGTTGAGATCGTATATTTGAGGCATGGTATCGTTTAAGTCGTCTTTCCTTCTCCCTGGTCGGTGGTCGTAAGTTCGTAGCACTGGGTGTCGTGAGAGTAGCAGGGAAAAAGAGGAGACAAAAGGAATGGTTGTTGGTGCGGAAAAAGCAAGCCTTGCGGAGTCTTGGCCCACGACGAGCGGGTGAGGCATGACTAAGCGACGGAGAATGCCGTAAGGCGCTAAAGCGTGTAAGTGGCCTGTCGTTCCAAAACGAAGAACATCTGGCATCTCAACCGTCAAAAAATCACTGACTTCAACCACATCTTGTACCCAGTGATTGTGTCTATCATACGCTTGATATGGACACAAATGCGAAACTCTTCATCAAGTTTAAATCTAACAAATACAACCAAGATCCAACAAATATCCCAAGGCTATGCGAATACAAATAAGAACCAAGTACATATGCACAGGATACAAGAAGAGTTTTGCAAAAGAAAGGAAGGAAAACAGGAAATAACCGTTTGATTTCATCGAGCTGTTATTTGGACGAAAATCCCAACTCCTGACCAACATTTGAATCTCTTCATGTGCTTGTTCATTAGATTCCTCAGCGACCCAAAAATCAGTTGAAACGATATTCAAAGCATGGTTTATGAATTTGGTGAAGCCGAATTATACTACATAGTATAAATTATAGACAGACTCGGATTATCCAGTTTTTTATGACAATTTATTAAACACTCTCGTGAGATTTGGCAGTGGAACGGAAACTACTAGGCTTTTGCCAATGTGAAAAGCATCCCGAATATTCAAAGTTACTGGTTCCCATGTTGTCTTGCGAATGCTAATATTCAAATATAATATATACTTACTTGAGTCTGCCAGTACGAGTACAGTCACGGTGACGGTCATTCAGGTCATGGATCGTTCAGTCACGTACTTATTGTGAGCCGGAACTGGTAATTTGAGTCACACTCTATACGAAACGCCTGCTGGTATTCTGCTGTCGGTGATCGAATTGGTACAGTGCAACATCGCAAAGTCATGCTCATTACCACGAGATTTATTCCGAGGTAATATTTACACAAAATAAAATACAAAGTGAGTGTCTCGCAATATTTTCATGTAATGGATTTTTCTGATCACGTTGTATACAATCTACTAATAGTACTATGTACAATCCCGAGCCTCCAAGATCCATATATATGCCACAAAAGCTCGTCGTCCGAGGTCTAGTAGGTTAATAAAACAAACAAGAAACCCAACTTCCACACAATCTCCACAAGTAGTACCGAGTACTGAGGTATTCTAGTAAATCCTCCTCGTCCTGTCGCTTGGGTCTATGAAACACGGAAAACAAACAAATCAAAACCGATAGCGGAGAAAGCCTGTTGAAAACAATATGAAAACACATCACAACAAACGGGGTATCAAACAAATGAGTGTAGGGGGCGAGGACATCAGAAGACCAAAGAAGACCGGCCAGGAGGTAGTAAATGCACGACCGCGTGCGGCTGGCGATTAGAAACGTGTTATCCACGAAGAAGTTAAGATACTTGCTCGGCGTAGGCGAATATAAATCGGTCCGAGGAAATAACATGATGTATGGTAATGGTTGATACTAAAACGAGTGGCAGCCGCCGTCCGTAAAGAAACGCAAGGCCAAAGGTGGACAATCAAGCTGCCGATTGCGTGAAAAGCGTAAAGTATTGATATTCGAGAGCACAACTGAAGAGCTTTGACGAGTAGTTGAGACCACAATAGTGGTTAGATAGAATGTCTTGCAAGAACGAGTGGCTTTATTGAGGGCGGGAGTGGAATGACAGCTTGCACTCCATGGAGGCTGGAAAGATAACCTACAAAGATATATATCAGTAGATGAAAAGAGAAGACACTGCTGGACGGAAACATACAAATGCATCCTTGATCTCCATTGAAGTATCGTTGGTCTCCAAAGCGTTTGCGGAGATGGAAAAGTTCCTCGCGATAGCCACGACAACAATCTTTAACATCATTTGTGCCATGTTTTGGCCACCGCAAACCCGCGCGCCAGCACCAAAAGGCATCATTTGTTGTGCCATCCTATAGAAGGAGCGGAGATTATTGAGTGACAACTAAATGAAATCGTGTATAACGAACCTCATGAGTCTCTCCTCCTCCATCTCCGAAGAGTCGACAGCCAGCCATCGTTCAGGAAGGAAGGTCTCGGGACTAAGGAAAACGGTAGGATCACGGTGCATGCTCCACGCTTGAGTAGCGACGATGGTGTTCGGAGGTAAAGCATACCCCATCAAGTCAAAGTCCTCGTCATCTTTGGATACAGACGAAGACGAACGGGATGGGACCACCCTTTCGAGGAGGGATGGAGCGGCACCATAGAGACGAAGACCTTCTTTGATGAACGCGTTGAGGTAAGGCAACCTCGACAATACTGAGATGTCAGGGATAACACGACGATCAGGCATAGCATCGTCTAACTCGGCTTGGAGTTTAGCCATGATATCAGGTCGACGACTAAGCTCGAGTAGGAAATAGGAGAGAGAAGTAGAAGTCGTGTCAACGCCAGCAACTCTGAGATAATCTGATATCAGAACAATATTAATATACAGTAGAAATGCACTCACAAATGTCCCATAGCCTCGGAAATGATGTTCT